CTCTCTCTCTCTCTCTCTCTCTCTCTCTTATCCTCTTTCTTACACTCACACAAACACACACAGACACACACTTCTGACCACCTTTCCTACCACTCGCCCCTCCTCCCTCTGCTCAACCTCCTCCTTCCTGCCCCAGGGCCTTTGCACTTGCCCTGGGATCCCCTACCCCTGGTTTCTACACATTAGCATTCTCACCTCCTCAAGTCTCTGCTCAAAAGACACCTTGTCAGCGAGGCCTTCCCTGACCTCCTTGTCTAAAATTAGAACTCCCAATACACCACACCTCTTCCCCGCTCTATTTTTCTCTCTAGCACTCACCATCTACCCTCTACTTGTTTTACTTATTTTAACTGTCTGTCTCCCAGTTAACGTGAGGGATTTTTGTCAGTTTGGGGTCTGTGCCTGACACAAAGATGGAGCTCCGCTCAGTAACCTCGTGTGGAATGAACAACTGATTGAACAATAACCCCATGGGTTCCCTGTGAGCCTTCAGTGGGATGACAGACAGAGCACTTTGAGCACAGTAGGAGCTCAGGAAACAGGAGTCCCTCTTGATGGCTCTCCAGCTCCTCACCACAGGGCACCAGTGACTGTGGCAGGGAGCATTAGCATCCTGTGTCACAGGCACAAGAGTGAGGTCCAGAGGCACAGGCAGGGGCAGACAAAATGCAGAAAGCCCAGGGAAGGGCCTGAGCTCACCTGCAGTTTGGGGCTAGACCCAGCCCCCCGCTCTGCTCTGGCCCCTCCAGTCAGCGGGGCTGCCCTTCCCAGCATTCCCCAGGGGCCACTAGGGCTGCCCAACCTGGGAAGATGAACTGGCTTCTCACGTTCCAAGCCTAATTTTATCCGCCTCCCAGAAGGGCTATAAAGGGCACCAGAGGGCCCAAGCTCTGGGGACTGAGGTGGCCCAGGCCTGAAGGGCCCCCTCCTGCTTCTGAACTTGGGCTCCAGGCTTCTGGCCTGGTCTTGCCCGGAGGGGTAGAGAGTGGATGACAAGAGGTGAGATGGGAGAAAGCGTGCAGGGCCCTGTGGGATCCTTATGGCTAGATCTTCACTACATCTCACTGCTGCACTCCCCTACTGGGCCCCCCAGAATCTCAGCGCCTCTCAGGGCTTCTCAATCCAGTGCAAGGAGTCAGGAGTCATGCCTCAGTTTCTTCATCTGTGAAACCTGGGGCTATAATAGCACGCCCCTCACAGGGTGATTAGAGGGGTAACTGAGTTGATACAATTAGTGGCTAGAACAGTGCCTGCACATACAAGGGCTTTACGTGTGTCTATTCTTCCAAATGTCATGACTTGAGCCCCTGCCACTGCCACCAGGCCCCAGGCATCCCCTGGCACTCCCGGTTCCTCCTAGAGCCCTCGCTGTCTGTCGTAGCCTCCAGGGCCTTCCCAGGGCAGAGAAGGGGGCATGGGAAGTGAGCTGCAAAAGAACAAACTCCCTGACCACCAGCCTCCCCAGGGCCTACAGGCATGGGGACAGCTGCCAGGGGATCGAATGGGGGCAGGCCGAGGATGGATGGCCACTCCAGTCCCGCTTACCCAGCTCAGCAGAAACCAGGGCCAGCGATAATGGGCTGGCCGCCCCCAGCTGCAAACAACTTCATTTTCTGCCACAATTAAATGATCGCCTGCATTTGCTCACACTCACTTATTCAATTACCTTCTCAGCCCTGAAGGACTTGCAGAGAAACAAGCATAAATAATACGCGTCAGCCGCCCCCAGGCTGTCATCCCTGCCCATCACTTTCTCAGGCCCAGCCCAGACCTTCCTGAGAGCGAGCAGACTATCATCGCCTTGTATAACCCAGTTCCTCAAGTAAATCCTCCCCAGCTCCCACCACCCACGTCTGAAAGTCAGTTCCCAGCCTGAGAGTCAGCATATCTGGGTCCCCAGCTGCCTCTACCTGCCCGGCTGGGGGTCTCTGGGGAGTCAGCCCCTCTGCAGGCCTTTGGTTCCTCATCTGTGAAATGACAGAAAAATTCTGTGTGAGCGGCCAAGTGTTGCTCTTACAAGAGGCTGTGGTCCTGGTTTCACACTCAAACATGAGCATTTCTGTAAGGGAGGAGAGACAAGTGTCCTCTCTCCACCTGCCACCCCACCCCCACCCCTCTCCAGCCACCTGAAGGCTTCCGGA